CAAATAGTTTCTTCCCACTTTTCATTCTTTTCTTTGGGGCTTCATTAACTAGGTACTGACAGTTCTTCCTTAAAATTTCACTCTTGGACTTTCTTTAACACTTTCTGATGTGTTCCATTGAGGAGTCCATTGCAGCTTGCTCCTATGACTAGACATAGACTACATTTTCCTTCCCATGTCTATTACTTAACTTCTGCCACTAGCAATCTTAAAGTATGTGGAGTCAGAGAGGAAAAAGGAAGACATAAGCTTATTTAATTGTTATGGACCAACTTTCTCTGTTAAGGGATAAAGTTTTGAGATGCAAGTAAGCTACATTTCTAGTATTTCTCCTACTAAAAAGGTTTATAATAATGGCTACAATCCAATTATTGTTGCTTTATGAGTGTGTAGTCAATATTTGTTAGATCTATTCTCATTTTTATCAGTTTTTTTGCTTGCCATTCTTTGCTTTTCAGCCCTTTCCTATCAGATTGTATTCCTTCTTGAAATACATCATTACATTGTTCCTTTTGGGCACATCTGTTGGTGGTAAATACTTAATGTTTGTTTCCTTGAAGTCTTTATTTAATAACCTTCAGCCTTAAATAAAATTGTAACTGTGTTTAGGCGTATAGATTGACAATCATTTTTTCCTCTTGCCACTTTGAGTCTATTATGTATTCACTTCCTTAAGCTGGTGCCAAGGTGCCATCTTTGCCATTTTCGTAATTTTAAAAGTAAACCTGCAACATGTCACTTTTTTTAAAATGATGGTTGCTGTAGATTTTCATAGATGTCCGTTGATCGTGAAGACATTCCCTTCAATGGCTAGTTGGCTAAGACTTTTCTTTTTTAATGAATGTTTGAATGGATGTTGCATTCTATCACATTTTCCCATATATATAAGAATCAGAGATTTTAAAGTTATTGATGTGCTTGATTACATTAATTAAATTTCTAATATTGTGGTAACCTTGTATTCCGAGGAAAAACTCAACTTGGTCATGGGACACTGTATTTTTTGTGCATCACTGGTCAGTCTGTTAAAACTTGTTTAGCATATTTAGATCTAAATTAATAAATGAGGTAGATCACTACTTTCATTTTCTCTTAAAATCCCTGTCTAGTTTGGGTATCTTAAATTGTGTTTACAAGTGTTCTCTGTTTTTCTGTTCTCTAGAGAGTTTATGTAAATTGAGAATCTAAGTTTCTTGAAAGGTTGTTAGTTTTTGGACCAGATGTATTCTTTGTGGGCAGATTTTCAACAATCAGTTTTAACTATTCTGTGGTTACAGGATAGTTCAGCTTTTCTATTCTTGGGTCCATTTTAGTAAGTTTTTAAAAAATATTTTTTCATTTTTTATATTATCAAGTTTATTGGCATAAAGTTCATAATGTCCTCCTATTTCTGTTTAAACTTTACATTATTTGTAGTTATGCCTTCAGTTTTTATTCCTAACGGTGTTTATTTTTGCCTTCTGTTTTTTTCTTGATAAATTTCAATTTTTACTACAAAGAACTAGATTCCAGCTTTTTAATAATTTCTTTTGAATCTTTTTCCTATTTTTTAATACCTCTCTTTTTTCCTCTCTTCCATTCTTAATAATACTAAGGTGTTCTGTGATGGAAAAGAATGTTTTTGAAAATATTATCCCATACTGAATTACACTGCAGTCAAATGTTAAGTTATTGAAATTGTATTTTAGAAGATACTATACGGAAGAACAAAGAGCTACATGTTCAAGATTTAATTGTTACTTCCATCTACTTAATTTTTTTTAAATTTTAACATAAATTTCAGAACATCTTAGTGGAGCTGTGTACTCTAAAGAAAGACATGGGTACAAGTTTTCTTTGAAGGTAAATTTTATTATGTTTATACTAGGACAATTAATCTTCCATTTAAATTATTCAATTTAAGATATATAGTATTTTCATGTAAACACTTTAAAAGCCTACTTGAGATAAACATCCAAATTCATATTTGCTTTTAATGGTCTTTTCTTATTATGGAAGAATCAAAATGGAATATTGTATTATTTTTATTAGTTTGCTAGGAAATGCTGAATTGTGCATTTCTGTCCTGGATTCCTATGCAAAGCATTTTAAGTTTTAAAGTTCTTTCCTTAATTGATATATGAAGTGGTTTCAACAATTAAGCTGGAAAAAAAATATTATTCAACTCTGACCTGTGTAACATATGGAAACAAAATACCCAATTCTGCCCCTCGTTATCTTAAGAAAGGGTTTGCTATTACATAGCTCTAATATCACACATCTGAGATATTCCACTTTTCAAGGTAAAAACATCCCATACCATTTCTTCAACATTTTCTTCCTCTACTTTTGACAGTGTGGGTTGAAATTCTGAATCTGAGTTATTTTTCAGAATGAGGCTGTGATTTACTTACCATAAGATCCCTAGACCTGCAGAACGTAAAGTGGAAAGAGGTCTCCTCTGTGAGAGATTTATTCTACAGGACTGTGCTTATCTTGAAAAGCTGCCAAGTTTGCTTTTATGCTCTCAGTGCCTCAAGTGGAAATCAATTAAAGTACCTGCTGTTTTGAATAGCAGATAATGGTGGAAGGTCAGAATTCAGACCACCAACAGTGTTCAACAAGCAAGTATTATTCTAAAGCTACAGCCCAGAAGATTGGCTTTTTAGTTCAATTTACATAGGTTAACTAATGAACTAGACTAAAGTAATTCATGTTATCACACAACTAAGTTTTATTGAGTAGAAGTAAAGCAAATTATTCCTTGGTGGAAAATTCAGCATTTGACCCCATGGTTATAAAACATCTTTAACAGAAAGGCCTTAGTGAGGGGGTGCGTGGGAGAACTTTTAGGAACTAAAATTCTCAGGTTAGAGATCCGTTCATTCAAAAATAAATGTGTCCACCAAGTACATCAAATGATTAGCCTCTCTGTTTATTTTCAAGAGTCTGAAATATTGTAGAGAAATAATTTGATTTAGACATTTTAAAAAATAAGTTCCTGGATAAATTTTTGGTAAATGATATGTGCAAATAAAAGCATGCAAGTTAAGCTAAATCATGTCCTAAATATAATAAGATATACTTGTATGAAATATGACAGAAAAACCGTTACAGCAGATAAAATAATGCAAATAAAATATATCACACTCTTGCATAGACTGTTGAATTTTTAAGAGCTTATAAACATTTCAGAAATCTAAATATTTAAACAAAGAAAGGATAGGAAAATAATATTTTGGGAGTTGTGACAAACCCAGTACTCAAATTGTAATAGAACTGTTTAAAACGTTAGTTTAAATATGTCTTTCCCAAAGTATTTAATAGACTTGGGTCATAAGGTAATTTGCACTTTGCAGTGATTTTTTAGTCTGTTTTGAACACATTGCCAGAGTAGACTTCCTAAAATAGCTCTTTTATCTTATCAACCTTCTGGCCAACTGCTAAGTGGCCTCTTATTCCCTCCAAATATGGATCCCTGGTCCTTCCTGGCATTCAAGACCTGGTTCTTCTATCTTTAAAATCTTATTCACTACCCCTTTTATTATATGCCTCCTCCCATGACACTGGTTTTCTCACCCTTTCATGACCGCATCTTCCACATTTCCACTTACTTGTTTTGTCTATGCTGACCTGTTTAGTTCTGCCCTCTTCTCCAAGTATCTGGACAGGTAGTAACACAATAATCTTCATGATAGATTACGCTGTCCTCTTTAAATATTCCTCATGGATTTCATACTTCTGTGCAATTTGTTAATAATATGCTTGTAGCTAAAAAACTTACCTTTTTTTTTTTTAAAGATTTCATTGGGGAATTGGGGGAGGAACAGCGTTGGGGATTCGGGGAAGGGGAACAGACAAGTTGCTGTCCTTTTGTTCTTCATCTAGTTGTGGAGGACGTCACTTCACTGGCCCAAGTTGGCACCATCATTGCGCTCTTCCAGGGCGAGGCAGATCAGTCGCCGGTCTCTGGATGGCCACTCACAGTGGCTCTTGGCAGCTCACACCGGCTGCTGGCCACTCACACTGGCTGCTGGCTGCACATGGTAGCTTATGGCAGCCCACTGCAGCAGGGTACTGCAGCCTACGCCGTCGCTGGCGACCCACGGCAGCCCAGCTCCAGGTCGAGCTGTTGTTCAGCATCTTAGCTGTAGAAGGCACAGCGTCACTGGCCCTAATGTGGGATCCGAACCAGGGCCCTGCTGCTAAGAACTGGCGTCCCAAGCCAGCTCTTAACCAATGCACCACTCGGCCGGCCGGCCCAAAACTTACCCTTCTTATAGAAATAGAAAGTCCGTAGGAATGTGCCAGCTGTGTCTCTTTATATCTGTGTCTCTGGGCTGACCACGACGATAGCTCTGGCTTAGATTTCTGACCGACCTCCCTCTTGCATTTCCTTAGAACTCTTCTTTCATGGTTGTTATAGCTCTGCTGCTTTATTCCAGTGTTTGTTTTTATTCCTTTCCACTTTTCCCTAGAAAATGTTTATTGTGTCCTGGAGATCTAGAACTTGTTCATACTGAGGTAAAATGACTGATAATTTCCAGAAACATGCCCATGGAGAGTCTCTGTATTGTGTCAAGGGCCAAGGCGATCTAATGAAATCAGGAAGCACTGGCCATGGCATAAGTGCCAGGCTTCAGGGTGGAGACATTAAATTTATACCATAAGCACATCACTTTAATTCTTCCAGCCTGGTTCATATGATGCTATAAATACTGATTTTCAGCTTATATTTTTGTGTTGTAGCTACTTAATGTTACATAATCACATGCATTTTAGTTACATTTGAAGAGATTTAAATTTATTACACAGATTTCCTGTTATTATGCATCAATCTTCACTATAAATAAGCCATCTACTATTTCAATCATAAGTTCAGTATTTAAAGCATCACAACATATTTTTCTTCAAATAATTTCTGTTGTTCTAGCAAAGTAGCTTTCTCAAAAATTGTTGACATCACCTCAGAAATGTGATACCTTCCCCTTATTATTATGCCCTTGTTTTCAGCATGTTATTTGTACAGGGTTATGGTGCAAGGTAGAAGGTGAGAAAGAATGCAGAACCAAACTGGATCCACCAATGGATGGAACGGATTGTGACACTGGTAAGGTAAGTCATTTGTGTTACCTCAGGTTAATTAGAGTATTACATGAAACTTAAGAAACTTGCATTTTCTTCTGCCAGTTACATATGTATTTCTCTTAACACTAGTGGAATACTTTCAGTATATAGAAAAGTTTCAGCCTTTCTTCTATTTTCAATTTTAACTTTTATATTTTTTCAAATCTGTCGTTTTGTTAATATCAATGCAATCATTTTTTATTGTTGGTTATGAGAATGTTGAGAGTCAGATATATGTATTGCCTTAAAAGAGAACTCATATTTTTTTACTCTGTAAATTAAACATAAGTAAAATAATCATAAATAATAGCATATATAGTGAAACTCCTCAGAGATAAAGAATACTTTCAGGTATAAAATATTGTCTCAGGAGAGCCACTGTGTTTAACTTTTCCTTGTCATTCCAAGCATCATAAATAAAATACTCTAATTGACATTTTGGGGATTAGTGAATATTTGGCTGTCTAAGTTGGTTAATGTGTTTCATAAGGTGGTAAGAATTTATTAGTTTATATTTTAGATCAAAAAAATTACTGTTGAAATTTTCTTTTGGAGAAGATGAAGGAGGAAGATCCCATGTAAACTCATAATTATGGTTAATGTAATCAAAAGATAACAGTTCAATAGTTTATATACAGTTTTAGTTCTTATTCTATGAAGGGGAAGTGGACCAGTTATCACTTTACTCTAGATATAAGATCAGAAAACTTGTTTCTGAAGCACATGAATTTTTATTACATTTCAAAAGAAACAACATAAAGAATACTTGGGGAAAACAGTGAAAAAATTAAGTTATGTAGCGTGTTAGTTTAGAAACACATTGATTTGAAACTGGACTGAATGGAAATCTAGCAATTTTACTTCTAGATTTTGTCCTAGGGAAATACTTACACATGTGCACAAAGATAGGAATGGACACACACACACCCACACACACACACACAAACACAGACAGACACACACACACGTGTATGTAAATACAATTTGCAATGGTGAGAAATGAGAAACAACAAAAATATTCATCAGGAGAGGAATGGTTACAGTGTAGCTGTTAAAAGAACTATATATATATGTTAAAAGAACTGTATAGATATAAATATATATTTCCCCATGTATAAGACGCACCCTTTTTTGAAAAATTTGGGGTCTAAAAACTGGGTGTGTCTTATACAGTGGTTGTAGGTGTTTTTATTTGCATTTCCCGCAAGTGATGAGGAGTTGTATGAATTTTGTGATGAATAAAACTTGAGTTCAATAACTTTATGTAATACATTTTTTTCAAATTTCAGGCCCCAAAATTAAGTTGCATTTTAAATCTTATACATGGGAGTGTCTTATACATGGGGAAATACGGTATATATATGTGTGTATATATATATATATATATATATATATATATATGTAATGAAAAGATATACAAGACATGGTGGTTAGTACATAGGTATGTCAGAAAAATTGATGCTTTATGATACCATTTGAGTTTTAAGAAAAAAGGTTTGTATACAAATATGAATATACATACACACAGTATATATTTTTAAACTCAGAAAATGGTTTGAAAATATAAACTCCAAATGGCAATTTGTAGGGAGGGAAGTGGAATTGATGGATGGGCGTAAAGCAACAGGAGATGAGGGCAAGTATAATTTTTCTCCAGACATTTCTGGATGTTTGACATAAGCACATAGTCATTTATAACTTCTATGATTTCTTTAATTAAAGAAAGAAAACAATGTACAAATTAAGTCCAAAATATTTTTTTGAAAGACTAGGAATGTTTTATCATTAGATACAATCACTAAGAACATGGTTTCATAAAAGGGAACTTCTGTGAAGTATCAGTCAGTTGTTCACATACTGAGCTAAATATTTTTCTATGAGCTTATGGAGAGTCAGAACTTGGGTTTGTTTTATTTTTTAAATTATGCACAAAGTATAATAATATGTGTATAGTGGACAAGCCTTATAGTATTGTGCTGAGTAATTCATTGCTTGAATCATAAAACTCCGCACCGCCAATAACTTTCATCATTCCAGAAACACGAAAGCACTAATGAACAAAGGTAACCAAATATTGAGCCATATTTCTTCAAACATCACACAACCCATTCGCCTTCCTTAGTTCTTCTTTGGCAATATGAAATCTTATTGTTTTCTTTTTGTGATCTGCCATCTAAGTAGTTTTTTACTATTATTTTTCCTGCTGATATTTATGAGAATAATTTGCATTCTCAAGGTCTCTATAATAAACTGATTCTTTCAGCAATGGAAACCGTAATTACTCATCAAAAGTAAAATGTTTTGTTTCCCTGGAATTGTGCTAATGATATTCTTTTAGCGGTTTTGTAATTCTTTGTGTGTGAAAATAACTAATGAACTTCTCAGTTCATCAGGCCAGTGGGCTTCTTCACCTATCCTCCTGTTCCAGCTGTTGTAGGAGCCATCACTAGAATAGCTTCCAACCCTGCAGCTGAGTGCTGCCTTAGTGCTGAAATATTTGAATGCTTGCAAGCTCGCACTAAACACTGCTAGCTTGATACATTGCAAATCAACACATAAAGCTGGGAATTCTGTTATGTGTTACACTCTAGTGATGTTAATCTAGCTGTATAACTGGTTTACCTAAGAGTATATTACTAAGTCTGAGAAGGTGCCTACAGAATTTTATGATTCAAAATGACTGTGAAGATAGGGATTTATCTACTATTTATACACAGCATTTTCCCAAATTCAAAGCAGCCTATTTTCTTTCTTATTTTCTCTTTGTAATAGTATCATCTGTGTTTACGATTATATTGAACAGAGGTTAAGGAGTTAATAAGTGATTTAGTAAAACCCAAGAAATATATGTGTTTTACTTATAATATTTGCTAGGAATTGAGGGAGGGGAAAGGAAAGTATGATACCAATTTACTAGAATTTTAGACTATTTTTAAGGACCCTACATAATATATTTTATTTACTTTCTAAATTGAGACTCTTGAAGTTACCATGATCAATATTCTTTACTGAAAATATGAAGCTGTAATATCCTTACAATCCCAAATTTGCATACATACAAGGTTTGTTGCCTTCTTTCCTTCTCTCCCCTCCCCCAACAATGTATGTACAAGAAGATTTTATTAGATAATAATGGGGTTTTTTTGACATCTTCATCGACCTCTTCGAATGTGGTGTTTTTGTGAACTTCCAGACATATCTGTATAGAAATTTGAGAAAATAGAAATATAATCCATTTTTTTTAGGTCATGTGCTGTCCCAGAAATAGTCTATATTATATAGTCTCTTTTTTTTCTTTAGCTGAGCCATCCTGCCACCTGTTGGCAGCTCAGCAGCTGCTCAGCTTGGGCTGGGACTCAAACTGCTATTGCTCAGAGCTCGCACTCTTGAGCGAGCTCTTAACCAACTGAGCCACTTGGCCAGCCCTATATATTCTCTTAGCATCTTCATAAATCAAACTGAATTAGTCAATGTGACAAATTTTGGCGTTTATAGACCATGTGTAATCCTTTTTTGAGGCTAAAAAATACAAATGAGACAAACCATGCCACTAGAAAATTTATGAAAAACACCATTAGGATCATTTTATATGCAAACCTAATAGAATATGTGGTATAATAATTTAAAGAAAACACTTAACACTTGCCTCAATGTTAAAGCACACCACCCCCTAGAAGACACAAAAGCAGCTCTCCATTCTTTCATCCAGAGATCTGCTTATCGGCAAGGTGATGAACTTTAAATGTTATATTACGCTTTTGTTCAATTTCAGCTGATTTCTGTAGGCAAATTTGGCTTGCATATCTGTTTCCATTTCTCTTTGTCTGCCAGATATGGTCTAGTTCAAATGATGTGCAAGTGTAAATCCCAGTCTTTCCCAGAATATTTTTAGTCTGCTGGGAACTCTGGCCCAACCTTTTAATGCCGGTTTGCTGCTAAATGGGCAAGGAGCTGTGACATTCACTCTGGGAAAAATAAACACCCTTCAAGTAGGACAAAACAATTTGACCAATTGAAGTTCGACAGCTTTCACCTTGAATTCTTTTTTTCCATGAATGGCATAACATCGTTAAATCCTTAAAACCAGTAAATTGTTTAAAAGTTTTCACAGGGTATGTTTTTTCCCGCTTTTGAAACGTTTAGACTGAATCTTCCTATTAATCTCAATTTATTTAATGACAGACTTAGCGTATCAATACATTCTGAGTTGTTGAGGTTTTATTTTTTTTAAGGCCTGCATTTAAAACTTCTTGAATCTAAAAGAGGTTGAATTTAACATGATTAAGAAAATCTGCAGGAGCTAATTATTTTATTGCATAGAAAAACATTAACTGGGCTCAAACAAAACTATGTAGTATAGTTTCTAAGTTCCCTCTTCTAAAAACAGCATTAAAAACATTCTCAAAATAAATTTTTAAAGAAACATAGATTGATTAAGATTAGAGTGAATAGAATTTTGGTTAGATTTCTGGAAATTTAACATTAATATAATGACACATGTAATTTAATATTGTTGTTTATTAAATCCTTAGTAGGGGCTATGCATTGTGCTTAGTGCTTCATTCAAACTCTGAAAGAAGTCTATTAGGTAAATATGATTATCATTCACATTTTGAAATGGGAAAACCGAGGGTTAGAGTGTTTCTGTAATTTGCCCAAAATTCCTTATAAATCAGGTTGCCCTTAGATGCAGAAAATTGCTTAGCACTGGAAGGATAAGCTTGCTGTATCCTGTCATTATACAATTATTAATCTAATTTTTCCTAGTCTTTACTTATTATTCTCAACATCCTTTTGTTCAATTAATTTTTACCTTGAACATGTTTGCCATGACTATCACATATCTTGATTTCCAGGAATAAGGAAAAATTATAATAATCTCTCCATCAAGTCTGGGCAGCCATTCCTTGGTGACCCCAGAAACAGCCTCTTTCACTGCTTTCATTTAATGAAAAAATAAATATAGAAAAGAGAAGGAGCATACTTCTTTCTCTCCTTTCACAGTTACCTTTCTCAGTGAATAAATAAATACCAGATAAGCTACAGAATAACTGGAATGAAATGACAGAATTTCATTCAAAGAGTCTAATTGACTCTTTTTCCAACCAATAGCTTTCAGAAGAAAACTTGCTATAATGTTAAAGCTTGAATTTGATTGGGAACTCTTTCAGAAAAAAGAAAGAAAAAGCATAAAGGAAAGTGCTAAAATTAAATAATACTTTTTAGCTATAAGGAGAGTACCCCGGATCATTGACATTTCAAATCAAATTTGCTAAATTTGCTACAATGCATGCTTCACCCTAGTTATAGAAGGATAATCATGTCTTATTTTCCATTCTTACATACGAATCTATGCTGTTTTGTGGCGTCTCTTAACTTGTTTGGTTTCCTGGCTTGTGTAATCCCACGTTCCCTCTCCATCCTACCCTGTCACAGCCCTGAATTCTCGGGGCTGTCGGACAGATATCTGTGCTGTGTTCATGACAAGACTAAACTGCCTGACAGGAGACCTGGAGAAGCAGGACCATTATGTTATCATGACAGTGCGCAAGTGCGACTTGATTTAACGGTGGTCTTTTTCAGTTCCGCGTGTTTGGGGCTCTAGTAGACCCGATTGAATCGCAATTCCCGTGACTCTATAGGCCAGTGAATGATTTTCCGTTGTGCCCTGATTTGTTCATCTAAGACATAACTTTTGGAATAGTGGTGTAAGGCTGGAGACTGCACCAGCAGGACCTCAGCACCGGGACATGCCGCCGGGGAGTGGAGCGCGTGGAGCCCCTGCAGCCGGACCTGCAGCTCTGGGATCAGCAGCCGGGAGCGCGAGTGTCCCGGGTAAACGCACGGTCCCGGATTGGGGGCGGGCAGGCGTCTCTTCACGTTTGAAACGCAGAGATTTTACAGATAAGCCATGTCGGAAAGCAAAAGGAGCCCCTCAGACCCTTAGCCACTTTGGGAAATAGAGAAGTCCCTCCATTTATTTATTTTAAATAATAACTCCCTTTAAGGAAAAAGAATAAGACCCATCCTTCTAAGAACAAATAAATGCTACACAGGGTGGTTTCTTGATGATATCAAATAAAATGTTAGGTTTGAGTAAGCAGGGAGACAGGTATTAGGAGAAGTAAGTCAAGATTTGAAGGAGCTGTGAGAAGAGCAGGAAGTTGGTAGGACTTCAGAAAGGGAGGGAGGCCATGAGAACAAAATGAATGTCAAAAGAAGCTGAGACTGATGAAAAGTGAAAGCACACTGAGCACATGCACAGACAGGGAGCATGCAAGCGTCCTTCAAGAGCCATCCTAGGAAAGTGTGTGAGAAAATCGTTTCGGCTTTATGCTTTAACTCTGGGTGTGGGCTCGGTGACCCAAGTCCTTCTCAAGTGATTTGAAAGAATTTATATGAAAATGTTAGAAGCATCTCCTTAATAATTCTTAGACCAAACCCCTTCTGGGGAATTGTAGGTGTTCTGCTTTTTGCCCCCAGCCTCTGCTCTTTTCTCCGATTTTCATGGCAAGTTGGCTTTTATTTCTCATGTATGTTGAAGGTTAAATGGATGGAGGATTGGAAAAAATGTATAGTTTAAAAAAAATGCATATATGGCTCTCCTAATATTACCAATTATTGAGGGAGTTCACAGTTTCAAAAGTAGATTTAATAATGTAAAGGAGTATACCTGAATTTTTTTATTTTAATTTAAAAAAAAACAATGAGTAGGTAACATAAAAAAAGATAAAATTGATTATTTGTATATCTTTTCTAGGCTAGGTTCTGAAGCAAGGGATTGTAATGGTCCCAGAAAACAATACAGAATATGTGAGAATCCGCCTTGTCCTGCAGGTCTGCCTGGATTCAGAGCCTGGCAATGTCAGGCCTATAGTGTTAGCACTTCGCACCCAAAGCCTGGGCTTCAGTGGCAAGCTGTCATGGATGAAGGTATGACCGGCCAGATCACCACCATCTGAATGAAGTAGGCGTCTAGGTTTGCAAAACGTTTTATTTACAGCAGTAGTGTGTTATTGTACAGATTCTATTGTAGGTGTTTCAGAGCTCGTTTTTTTTTCTACCTTTACTGACATGTAACAACAACAAGTACTGACTCAAAATATATGTAAAAATAGAGAGATATTACTACACACCTATTAAAGCAACTAAAATAAAAAAGAGTGACACCACCAAATGCTGGTAAGGATGAGGAGACACGGTCTCTCATACATTGCTGGTAGGGAGGTAAAATTGGTGTATATAGCCACTCTGAAAAAACGCTGGGCAGTTTGTTAAATAACTAAACATATACGTATCATATAATTTAGAAAATGCAGTCCTGGGCATTTATCCCAGAAAAGTGAAACTTTGTAATCATAAAAAAATCTGTATACGCATATTCATGGCAGCTTTGTTTTGAACAGCCCCAAACTGGAAACAAAACGGTTCTGAGGAGCTGAATGGTTAAAGAAACTGAGGTACATCCAGAATAAGGGATATTATGCAGCAATAAAAGGAACAAACTTTTTCATTTCAGAGCATTATACTGACTGAAAACAGTCAATCTCAAAAGGCCACATGCTGTGTGATCCATTTATATAACGTTTTAAAACAACACCACTCTGGAAATGGGAAACAGGTAGATTAGTGGTTGCCAGGAGTTTAGGATGATGATGGGAGAGGGATGGCTGCCACTATGAAGGGGTAGCACAAGGTTGTATGTGCTGATGAAACAGCTCGGTATATTGATTGTGGTGTGGGCTGTAAAATTTACACATGTGATAAAATGGCATAGGGCTATACATGTACATTCACCACTGTCAACTTACTGGGTTGGCTATTGTACTATAGTTAACAAGGTGTAACCATGGAGGGAAACTGGGTGAAAGGTATAGGGGACTTTTCTGTACTATTTTTTGCAACTTCCTGTAAATCTTTCATCAGAATAAGGATGTGAAGAAAATTATATGTTGTCTTATTACTTGAGAATGACGGTTCTTGCCCATGGTCAGTGGGCTGTGTGTTTGACTTGAGTGACCAAAAGTAATGGTGAATTTTCTGTCTTAATGACCATCGCACCCCTAGTCTCTCCTTTCAGTATTTCTCCTCTTAGTTAGTTTGGACTGTGCTTTCCGTAATTTCAGTAACACTCCTGTTACTAGCCTAAATTCTGTTTATCAGTTCCAGTGCCCTCATCTGATAAAGCTCTTCTCTCATCGGAGCATACAATGCAGTTATAGGGAGAGCCAAACAATTGGGCAAATTATTCCACTACATAATGGGGGGAAGGCAGCCATCAGATGATTACCTCCTCATCTTCTTGCTATCAAACACAGAAGCCTAACTATGACTGCAGACATTCCATATCTAGTATATAGCAGCATTTTCATTCCTCCTTTCTAACGCCAGTTGCTCCACCTGTGCCCTGGATGTCATCCCCATCTTCCCTTTTCAGCTCACTTGTTGATCACCCCTACTTTCTCTTATATACTTAATCTGCTCTGTGATTTTTCACACTCTATGCTTAAACATATTTAGGACTCGTCCAGGACAAAATACAGACCTTCCTTCAAGCTCATAGCCACCTCCAGGTGGTGCACTTACAGTCTTTCCCCCTCGTAGACACACTTCTCAAAAGAGCTGTCTGTTTTCCAGCCCTCTGTTTCCTTACTTTCATCCTGGAGTTCACCAGCACAAATCTCACTTGTGTTATCAAGGACTGCCATGGAAACTAAACCTAATGAATGGTTTCCAGGCCTTTTTATACGTGACCTCTCAACTGCATTCAAATAGTTGGCCACCCCTTGGTTCTTGAAACACTCATGTGCCTTTATTTCCATGACACGACCCCGTCCTGGTTTTCCTACTCTATGTCTGGTGTGTTCTTCTGTCAATCCCAGATGCTATTCTGTTTTTACTCTACATTTGCTTCTTAGGTGATTTCATCTATTCTCATGGCTTCAAATATGCAAATAACTCATGAATTTATGTCTTCCGCCAGATTTTTCCTTTGAGCTCCAAACTTGTATGTCCAACTTCCTGCTTTAAATTTCTACTTGACTCTCTGCAGAGTTAAGACTAAATTCATGCTTTTAATCCTTCCAGTCCATGTCCATTCTGATCCTGTTTAGTGTGTCCTGTGGCAGTGAAGGTTATACCAGCTCTTTAGCTGCACAAGCCGGAAATGTGTGACTCTTAACATTTCCATCTTCCTCCCCACGCATCCAATCCATCACCAATCCATCACCGTCTACATATTTTACTTCCTGAGTATCTGTCCATTCCATCTACACTCTCACTACTCTCAAGTTCATATTTCCAGGGCCGCTTGCTCGGGTGCCTGTGGTGGCTCCAAAGTAGTCTTTTTGCTTTCGCTCTACTCCTGCCTCAGTTCACTCTTCCTAGAGCAGCCTGGAGGGCTTTCTGTAAGATGTAAATCAGATCCTTTCAATCTCCCACTTAACAGCATTTCAGAGGCTTCCTGTAACTCTTCTGGTCAAGATCAAATTACAGGACACCACCCTCCTACTCTGCTCCCTTATCTCCTGCTTCATCTTAAACCTCGCCCCTGTTTGCCCTATACTCCCGATACTGGTCTGGTTTCACTGTCTCAAACATGTCATGTTTTCTTCCCCTGCACCATCTCCAACATGCTGTTTCCTCAGCTGAGAAGAAGTGATAACACAATCTTCAATTTACACAATCCTCATAACTGGTAGTTACGTCTTTTCAGATGCTTAGACCAAACACCTTGTAGTCATCATTTTTTCCTCTTTTACTATACATTTCAAATATCAGTAAGGTCATACTAGCCCGTTCTTCATCTTTTTTTTTTTTTTTTTTTTTTTAGCTGAGCCATCCTGCCACCTGTTGGCAGCTCAGCTGCAGCTCAGCTCGGGCTGGACTCGAACCACTGTTGCTCAGAGCTCAAACCCTTGAGCGAGCTCTTAACCAACTGAGCCACTCGGCCAGCCGCTCTTTAAAGTATACCCGGAATCTGATCATTTCCCAACATCTCCAGAACTGCCACCTGATACAAACCACTGTCTGTCACCAAGGTGACTGCAGTGGCTTCTAACTGGTCTTACTCCTGTACCTTCACCCCACCTTCATTCTCAACGTAACCGCTAGAGCAACACATTTAAAATGTCAGTCATATCATGTCATTCTCCCATTCAGAACTTGTCAATATCTTCACAACTCACTAAGAGTTCAAGTGCAGAGGTCTTCTAATAGCCTCTAAGCGCCTCTGCTACCTGGCTTCCTGTTATCCTCTAACTTCACCTCTGCTGTTCCCTCATCACACCCTTCTGCCCACACTGGCTCCCACGTTCTTCCTAGAGTGAGTCAGGTGTCTTGGAGGTGGTTGTTTTCGCTGCTGAAGCACTTTGCCCAGATACCCGTATGATCCATTCTTTCACCTCCTTCAGGACTTTTCTTTTCTTTTCTTTTTAAAGATTTTTATTGGGGAATTGGGGGAAGGGGAATAGACAAGTTGCTGTCCTTTTGTTCTTCAGTCTAGTTGTGGAGGACGTTGCTTCACTGGCCCAAGTTGGCACCATCATTGTGCTCTTCCCGGGCGAAGCAGATCAGTCGTCGGCTTCTGGACCGCCGCTCACAGCGGCTGCTGGCCGCTCACGCTGGCTGCTGGCTACTCACGGTAGCCCATGGCAACCCACTGCCACAGAGGCTGCCGCCTATGCCGTCGCCAGTGACTCAAGGCAGCCCAGCTCCAGGTTGAGCTGTTGTTCAGCATCTTAGCTGTAGAGGGCAGTGTCACTGGCCCTCATATGTGGGATCCGAACTGAGGCCCTCTGGCGTCCCAAGCCAGCTCTTAACCAACGCGCCACTCGGCCGGCCCCAGGTCTTTCCTTAATATTAACTCGAAGCTTTTTCTTTCCCTTCTTTATTCTTTTTTCACAGAGCTTATCCTGTGCTGTAATAACTTTTAGGTTTTACTTGTTATCTGCCCTGCAGTAACAGTTGTAAGAGCAGGGCTCACTGTCATAGTGTGTGCATTGCTGTATCTTTAGTACCATAAACAGTACCTGAACCGACTAAGCACTGAATAAATATTAGGTGAATGAATGATATGTCTAATGGGAATTTTCCAGTGATTTGTCTTGGTCCCTCTTGGCTTCTCCCTAGGATAATCTGACTTATTTGCTAGGTTTTCTTTATCACCTGTATGCTGAAGGGACACACATGTTCATCTCCAGCCCAGATTGCTTTGTCCTGAGCTCCTTAGCTGCTTACCTATCTGTTGCATGGACATGTCCACCCAATATCCCATTTATCTCTAATCAGCGTGCTCCAAGTTCAACACACCCCCTGCTACTTTCATCTCTCTTACTCCCACTTTCTGCTTCTACAATGCTCTCTCACAGAGAATGGCGTCATCATTGATCTCATTACCAAACTAAGCCAGAATCCCTCTTCTTCAACCTCCACTCACCTGGAATCAGTCAGCAAACCCTATTTGTCCAAACCTTTCTACTGCCAGCATCTTCGTTCATAATGGCACCATCTCTAACCTGGATTCCTCAGACAGCATCCTCCCCTTCTCTCTGCCGGCATTCTCACACCCCTCCAGCCCCTACTCCTCATTTCAGCCAGGTTGGCCTTTTTAAAGGCCAGACCTGTTCATCACTGTGCCAAGTCATACCCTTCCCTGAGTCCCGTTGCTCTCAGGACCACTCTCAAACTTGACTACCTGGTTTATAAGGCCGTTTTTGTGGTCCGCCCCTTGAACATCTCTCATTCCCTCTAGCCTCCAGCACAGGGAGGCCAAATGCCATTCCTCCCGTCCTACCCACCATGCTGTCTTATTCCTGAGCCTGTAAACATGCTAGTTTCTTGGCATAATACCTTTTCTTTCTCAAGCTTTGATCTCTCCCAATTTATTTTACCTTGAAAACTTCTACTTATTTTTTGGACTCAATTTATTTCAAGTCCTCTAGGAAAAAAGAATCCACTGATCCTCTGAAATGGGTATCTGTCTCTTTCAAGAACCCCACAAGCAGGCCGGCTGAGTGGCTCGTTGGTTAAGAGTTGGCTTGGGAGCGCGAGTTCTGAGCAGCAGGGCTGCCAGTTCAGATCTCACATGGGCCAGTGATGCTGCGCCCTCTACAGCTAAGATGGTGAACAACAGCTCGACCTGGAGCTGGGCTGCGTGAGTCACTGGCGATGGCATAGGCTGCAGTGGGGCTGCAGTGGGCTGCTGTAAGCTACCGTGAGTAGCTGGCAGCCAGTGTGAGTGGCCGGCAGCTGGTGTGAGCCGCCATGAGCGGCCGTCCAGTGGCCGGCGAACGATCTGCCTCAGCTGGGAAAAGCGCAATGATCACAATACCAACATGGGCCAGTGAAGCGACGTCCTCCACAACTAGAATGAAGAACCAAAGGACAGCAACTTGTTTGTTCCTCTTCCCTGATTCTCCAATGCTGTTCCCTCCCCCAACTCCCCAATAAAATCTTTTAAAAAAAACAAGAACCCACAAGCATCCTGTGATAGCAGATTTTAATATACAGTAATACCTTGGTTTGCGAGCATAATTCGTTCTGGAAACAAACCACTTGTAGTACAAGACATTGCTCGTTTACCACATTAAAATGTATGAGAAATGTTTGCTCATCTTGCAGAACACTCGCAAAACAAGTTACTTCAAGGTTTTACTGTATTTATAGTCTCTCTGTTGTCAGCACCTAGTGTTCAGTCTGGCAATTAAGCGTTTGATGAATATTTGTTGCATAAATTTGAAATTATAAACAATATATTTTCATTGTAAAAAAGAAATAAGCAAGATGACTATTCAGATCCTGAAAATCATCGTCTGATCACTTGAGGGTTAATTCTGTCTCTGCCTCTAACTGGCTGTGCAATCTGATAATATTAAATTCATCTGAAACCTGCTTACTCAGATGTGAAATAAGAGATAGGAAATAGGTTCCCGTGAGATTAAAAAAAAAAATCAGGATCAGATGTGGGTCAATTTAAAATATTAAAGACATTGGCAATCACAATTGGTTAATTTCCTAACTCTTATAAAGTGATGTTTAGCACCAGAATAATCCATAATAAATATTTGTATAATTAACAGGTTAGTATTGGGTTGTCGGAAAAGTCATGATGTATTTTTTCTGTTTTTCATCGCAAAAATGCATCATGACTTTTCCTACAACCCAATATTTTTGATTATACATTTTTGCAATACATATCAATTCATCAGTCAGTACGATGAACAAAATACACAATAGTCTTCAATTATTACAGCACTATGGAAGAAATTGAAATATACAATGCTTTTAAAATTCCTAAGTCTTAATAACATATGACACCTTAAAATGCAAGCGGCTATTTCTATTATTCATATATAATACATGTACAAGGATCTCTGGTTAAGAGACTTAAATGGAGGGTATCCATGCAGTGGTGAACATTAATTTTTAGAGAAAAAAGAGGCACGGCTTTGACATTCAGGTATTTTGCATACTCTGTGCTGAAACCTGGCTGACATCCATGTTTAATGCATATCTTGGAAAGGGTTGGCCTCTTAAATCAAGACAGAGCTTACCTGCCAAGTCCTGGCATGTTAAATGGATCACTATAATGTCACAGTCTCGGGGGTACACTCCAGGAAGGAAGATTGGTATCAAATGTTTATGTCATCTGTAAAGCTAAAGTAAGCACAGCGAATTGACAGTATGTTGTAAAAGGAGAAATACAAAGATTTTTATCGCCGTCTTGCTTGGAATGTGACTGGAATTTTCTAGACTAACTCCTGTCAACATTAGTCATATATCTGGTTTGCTCCTCTTTTCAATGAAAACCCCAGAAAGAGAACTATACATAAATATATACCACTTTTAAAGTGTTACAATTACAGCAGCTGTTTTTAAGTCCAAAGATATGACATCGTAAGCAGTCATTGAATAAACATAACCTACTTTGAGGTGTGAGAGCACACTGAAATGCTTTATTGCAGCTTCTAATGGCATCTTAAAGGAAAATCTCAAAACCATGCACATTGGAGGCCTTGTTCCAACTCCTCAGAATTGTTCAGAGCAGGACTCAGAAGCCACATGTGAAAACTGTTTGAAATGTTCAATTCCGAAGGCTCATTTAACTGTCTGTCTTCTCTTTGCAAAGTGATAGCCAGTTCCCTGCCTCTGGCTGTTATTTGGTATTTATAGAACCCCAGCAGCATACGTGGAACTTAACTGAAGACATAGCAAAGATCAGTGTCAGAGACTGTAAACTATTTTCCATTCTATTTATATGAGCTTAATAAACAGTAAAGGGCCTGACTGGTGTCAAGCCAATAGAGTAGTAATGTAGCATGGAAATTGCTCTGAAGTTTCAGATTTGGATTATCCTACTACTGGTGTTACCAAATACTACAGCTCCTTTTTGGATGCTTAGAAATAGAAACGGCACTTGAGAAATATGTTGGCATTCTTTGACAGAGCCTAATAGGCAAGTGTTTTAACTCTAACCATCCTACCATATTGTTTCATGCAACACTGAAGGAGACGGTCGGCCATTCAAGAATTCTTTACCTAGGACAGTGGTCCTCAACCTCGATATCCTATGTACTGACATGCTTTTTGACTAAGCAGTAAAGGGGGTTGAGTCCTAGCCAGGACTACAGTGACTGTGCATACCAATGGATGTTCTCATGGGGTTGTATTGCATTTCTAAACATCCTTGTAATGGAAAATCTTCTGAGAATTGCTCATCTTGTAAGTTCTTCTTTCTCCTTTTTGTAACTTTTCAATGAGAACATGCTAAATGCATAGGATTGAAAATTAGTGTATTGGAATTTAAAAGTGAGATATAATAACCCTGCAGTATTATCTGCTCAAGTATTACATTATCCAATTCACATCAAATTATATTTTTTACTCGTCAAATGTTCTGAAAAATAAAGCTTGAGATAAAACTATGTATGGAGTCACTTATGTTTCGTTTTTTATTCACTCTGTATATAGAAAAACCGTGTGCCTTGTTTTGCTCCCCTGTTGGAAAAGAACAGCCTATTCTTCTGTCAGAAAAAGTGATGGATGGAACGTCTTGTGGCTATCAGGGATTGGATATCTGTGCAAATGGCAGGTGTCAGGTAAGACATTCTAAAAGGGAGAGTGTGTATGTTGAGGGAGGAGGAGGACCAACGAGCAGCCGCACAGTATGGTGGAAAGCTCTGCACCAAGATTCAAAAGACGAGGATGTATTCCTGACTCAACTGTGACCTTGACCAAGCCTGATCTGCTTTGTATAATATAGGGTTTGGACTAGCTAATCTATAATACCCATTACTATCTGAAAGAATATGAGATTTGAATTCCGTCATATACCTATTATTACAGGTCTAAAATTGTGACACTTCAGGCCTTTTATGTCAAAACATTCCGGACCCAAAATACAACCACTCCAGCTCTCCATGTCTTGGATCTAAGACTGAGCCATGGGGTAAAAAACTATAAAATCAGTCCTATTGCTCACTTCATCTTAAAGCATTTTCAACATACTTGAATCAACTGATTTTTAAATGTATATTCAGCTGTCTTCTAGTTCTTAACCCTTTCATTTCCTTTTCCCTTCCTTTTAAGAAATAGTCTCCATCTACTATGTGTATTTGTGTGCGCTTCTAAATTTGTTATTAGAAAGGTAGAAATTCTGTTAACGTAAGGATGAAGAGCATAGTGGAAAGATCAAAGCCTAGAACTTAGAAGTTATTATACTAGTTATGGCTCTGCCACTATCTCAGGTTGGCTTTCCTGGAAGCTTAATATTCGGGAAGTTTAATGCCAAGTGTTTCCAAGATCAACATTGGTGTGGGGAGGGGAAGGAGGCAGGATTGGGCACGGGGAAATTGGGCTGTAGTGAAGTCACAAGACCTCAGCTGACCCTCTGAGGAGCATGGAAACTTGAATGGCTCTTCAGAGTTGTCCATATTTGGGGTGAGAGAAACAGCCCTTTTTACCTCCAGCATCTATTAGTATTTGGATGAAAGCTGCCCCGGGAAGGAGATAGGACCTTAGGAAAGGCACTTTTCTTCAGGCTAGGCAATTTCTGAAAAGGGCTGATGGCTGAGAGCCATCAGCTGGTAAACTTCGCAGGCGTGGGAGGGAAATAAATCATTTAGTTAGGAAAGAGTATTTGAGTGGAGGGAGCAACACTGAATCCATGACAGCTACTAGGAAATTGTGTTCCTGGGAAAATCACTTAAAATATGTTTGCAGACATTAACTAATCTGTAAAATGAAGCTATTGGACTAATGGTCATTGACCTTTTTGTGTAATACACTCCTTAGAGAATTTGATGAAAAGTTTGCTTTTTTTTCCTCCTCAGAAAAATGCACACCTGAAAACACACACACACACACACACACACACACACACACACAAACCGAGATTTGAAAACAATTGTGACTGGATGAATGGATCATTCTGTAGTCCATAGAAGTCTATGGACTTCTGGGTAAAAACTTGAAAACAACATGAAGCTTCAATGTTTCACCAGCTCTAAAGTTCTATATATTTCCTAGCATGCTATAGAGTTTAAAGCATAGAATCATGTAATACCATTGGCAGAAGAAACAGTCTTATAATTACATATTAATTTCCTTTATTCTTTAACAGAATATGGCAGTAACCTGAAATGTAGTTTTCATTTGTTAAAAAAAAAAAAAAAAGCATTGCAGGTATTGACCTCCACATTTTTTTTCTTTTCAGAACTAGATGATGTGCAATTAAAGCTTTTAACTTTATTTTGTCATTTTATGTAAATCTGTCAGATTAATGTATGTCTTAAGTTAATTTATTTTTCAAAAATAATTATTTTTCCAACTATATATGCCACATACAATAGACTAAATTGCTATGCTTTCATTTAGTGGTATTGTGTAAGCCAGATCCCTAGCTAGACATTAAAATTACAGCAACAACAAAAAATTATGCATAAGTGCTATGCGAATCTGATTATTATAATTAAAGTTCTGTGAAATGGATTGTGACTTCTGAGAACATTGGAATACTTCAAGATTCTGGCTTTTTAACTAAAATGCTTTATTCAGCCTTTCCATATAATTAAAAACATGCTTCTTTTAGGTTCTGACAACCTTCTATAGATTGGGTTTGGCTTGAGTGTTTTGTTTTATCACAAAGCACATAGCACTGAAGTTGAATGTACAATTCTAAACTCGGTGAATGGACTAAGAAGGGTGGTTGAAAATAGACATCTTTCTCCTGGTGACCCAGTTTGGCTCTGTGATGTTTTCATCATGAAAAGATGGAGAGAGCTCTACTCTGTATTATCACATTATTCTCCCATCTCTATCATGCCAGTGCTACCTCAGGTACCCGCCACCAGTTAAACGAAGTCGTCCATCTTCAACTTTTGGAGTTAACGTGAGCATATTTTGATCAGTGGATATTTGAGACTATCAATTACAAAATACAAATGCTTTGATTCTTATATTAAAAATATATGATCATGGAGCCATGGCAGTATGTCTGTCCCTGACTTTTATTTTAGATTTGCAGACTTGTAATATCCCAGTTACAAGGGTTAGAAAACCTGAGACACTGCTACGTACTAATTTATGTAATCATCTAGCTACCATTTATTGGCTTTATTGTATCTGCCAAGAAACAAACTGGATGCTAGGGAGAGAACAAAACAAGGTGCCTTTATTACTTCAAAACTACTTGAGGCTCCACTCTAAATTTTTTCTTCATTTGAACATGAAGGAGACATTTTATTTTCTCCACCCCAGGACTTTCAGGTCTTTTCATGGCTCCTGCTTAGTGAACTCTTCCCATATCTTTGTTGTACTTTGAGGGTTTCCTGTGGTGGCCACCTCTTTCACTCAGAGATATTCTCTTTAATTCTCCCCAAATAAGCTTTGGTTTGCTGATCAGAGTTCTCCACTAATGCATTGCTTTATCTGTCTTGATACTGATATACCCACCTTGACAAAAGGAAAAGATGCGATATTATGTAGGTTTCCTGTGATTTTTGTTCTCTCAGGATATTTATCCAGCATCTGCATTCTATCATCGCCTGCTTCCTGCATCACAACACCAACACCCACAGCAAAAGACCCTGGCTTTTTTCTGTTTTATTTAATAATTTAAAAATTCCTCTAAAATAGTTTAACTTGTTATAAGTGGATATATTATCAGCCTCTCTTGCAGCTCCTTCTATTTAGAGGTAATTGTGTAATTCTACCATTTATTTCTGACAATATTGACATATTAAATTCTGCTCTTTGAGTATGCACAGCTTGGCAAAATATGATCATATTTACTGAACATCGGTGGGAGACTAACATTATTCACTAGGAAAGAGTCAATGATTTAATCTTAGAAGATTTTTACTAACATAATTCTTCTGGGAGCATATAAAAATTAATTTCCCCACTGTTTATATTTTCTTATAGCAGCCATGGGTTGTGAGCAGTTCTTACTCACATTTGTGTCCTGGATGCCAAAGAAGACGGGCATAGAAGTTTATTCGTGATCTGCAGTGAAAATAAACGTTTATGTTTGGCTTTCACAAAGTTAACATTTAATATTCAGCATTGGCTTTGCAAGCACTTTAGAAGTGAAGCCATCCATATAATGACTATGTTATCTCTTTTATGTCGAGTAGAATGAATTAGATTATTTGTGTTATATTTAATAGAAATGTGATTTCCTTTGGGACTTGTGTAAATTGCATTTGTCTCAATATTTCTCCAAATTGCTTTCGTATATCATTTAATTTTAATATAAGAAAAATAACTCTCATCACTATCGTGCTACTTGATCACTTGACAGATAATATTATTTGACATGAGCTTGCTGTATTGGTTGGCACCAGAGAATATGACATTTTACTAGTTTGTCAATTAAATATGTCTAGTTTGTAGAGACTAGCTTTGTCCTAAATTAGTGGTTAAAACAGAAAAAGAAAAATCTCACTTTATGATCTATTGTTCTTTTGTTACAGAAAGTTGGCTGTGACGGTTTATTAGGGTCTCTTGCAAGAGAAGATCATTGTGGTGTATGCAATGGCAATGGAAAGTCATGCAAAATCATTAAAGGAGATTTTAATCACACTAGAGGAGCAGGTAATAATTTTTTTATATTTTTTTCAGAATTAATAATCCAAACAATCTCTGGGGACAGAGTTTACATAGAACTTGCCTTAACAAATCACGGTTCTGATTCTGTTGAAGATTTTTGTAATGGGTATTGAATGATTTGTCTTGATGATATACAATGCATGTGATATGAGCCAGAAATTCTAACAAGCCCATTTCCCAATAATGAAAATATGAAGTCATCTGTTGTGCATTTAATAAATTGTAGCAGCAAGGGAATAATCTAATTTGCATTGGCAAATGTTATCAGGTTTCTACAGACCATATTCTCCAATGCAAAGCACGATGTCTGTCTGAAAGAAGAATGATTTTTAACAGGCTGAAGCAACTATTGAGAGTAATAGTCTTCAGACTTTCAGCTTTCCATTTTCTTAATTTTTCCTTATGTTTTACTATGAAGGGAATAGATTTTTGGAAACAGAGAGTCTGTGGCAGTGTTGCATTGTGGGAACAATAACAGGAGAGACAGAAGATGGAATGATGTTCCCAGTATATGAATAGTGGCTAGTCATTCTCTATTCTTTTGTTTCCTCATCTATAAATGTTATTATTCAGGGGGTATGAGGAGGAAATGATTATGAAAGATCTATACAGTGTAAGTTTTAAAGTGATCCACAACAAAAAGTAAGATGATCTATATGAAATATAATGACCCACAAATAGGCTTTATATACAGACAATGCTTTATACTCAGATCCTCAAGCTTCCTGGGAGGAAGCAGAAATTGTGGTGTTTACATTATTGTCTTACCTGGACATCTACCTGTGGAACTTAGTATTTGTGATTGTATTTTCATCATCTTTAGTGTGCTTATATTCCATACATCAACTTTTTACTCTTTGAAATTCCTTTCTTATTCAAAGACCAAAAAACCTGAGACTAAACTATGTATTAGTTTAAATACAAAGGACAAGCCATTTATGTTTGAATAATCAAGAAAACAGTTCATTCTAGACAAAAGAGTCCTTCAGAAAAGAAAATTAGACACAGCTCTCTAAAGTTGAATATAACCTTTTGCTAGGCCCCAGCAGAATAAAAGAGAAGTAAGCTTGAAAATTTTGAAGCCTAAAAGTAACTAAGGCCCAGGGTAAATTGCAGATCAAAATCTCAGTCTCCAAAGCTATGAAAAAGGTGACAGGTCCTACAAGTCAAAATCTGCCAGAACTCATTGAGAAAAGTCATACATAACTATAATAGGCTCCCAGACTTTCAACTAAGAAGTGTAATTATAATGCAATTATAGTGCAATTTGCAGCCTGATTGTGATGGGAAAAGTATTTATAATGCATAAGTTCAAATAAATACTGAAAGACTAAAGATTGAAAGATGCTAGAATTTTCAAAGCGTGTTCTTGCCTAGTTATTTAATATGCATGGAGACAGTTCACCGAAGAATACTGGTGCATATTCAGCACTGATATCTTTATTTAATTGTAATAACACTTGATTTTTCTACCAAGCATAGAAAATAGAAATAACCAGTTAACACTCCAACGATGCTGTCATTCCGTTTGTTATGCGGATATATTTTTCCCCCCAGATTCCTACTCAAACCTCCTCTGTTTTCATTGCACCTTAATTTCTACTTGTGTTCATTTGTTTGTTTGCTATAGGTAAGCTATATTAATAGCAACTGATATTTGGAAAATGTCTGCAATGCCTAAGATATAGGGAGTATCAGAGACTAACAATATTACTTTCTTCCTTAAAGTCTATGCTAGTTTCACATTGCTCACAGGGGAAAGACAAGGATTTTTAACTTTGACCGTAAAAAAACATCCTATGTGATGCTGTTTCTACTTGTCTGTCTGACATTGTCTCACACCCAGGTCCCTTTCCTCTAAGCTGCAGCCACCAGATTTCTTACAGGTGCCCCAACTGTCCATGTTTCCTCCAGCACCTTGCATTTAAAAATACGGTTCTGGGGCCGACTGAGTGGCTCAGTTGGTTAAGCGGTCGCTCAAGAGTGCAAGCTCTGAGCAACAGGGTTGCTGGTTTGATTCCCACCTGGGCCCGAGCTGAGCTGCCAAAAGGTGGCAGGATGGCCCAGCTAAAAAATAAAATAAAATAAAAATGAAAATACAGTTCTGTTATCATCCCCTTAGCTTTGCCTGGTGAATTCCTAGACATCACCTAGATCTCAGTTCATATGTCACTTATTCAGTACAGTGTTCCTGGAACAACCTCCACCTCCTATCACTAGGAACTAGTTTGGTGAGCCTTACCATGTTTGTATCCATACGGTGCAGCTTCAATCACATTTGGAGTTGAGCCTTCATTGGTCTTTATTTCCCCACCAGACTTGGAGATAAATGAGGAAAAATTCCATGGCGATTTTTGTTTAAGACCATGTTCTCAGCATAGTGTGTGATCCAGTAATATGTGTTAATTCAATGAATAATGAAACATTACATTGTTGAGAACTTTGAAAACCAAAAATCTGCTTGAGTCCTTAATTATATCATGGGTTTCACCTACTTGTGACTTTCGAAATGTTGTATTCATTTCTCTTGAGACAATTTTATCCTTATAGTTTATGGACTTCCTAGAATTTCTTGAAGGAATTGCAGCCTTACGTGGTTCAGTTGGCCATGCACGCTGTATATATATTGTATGAGTAACACATGTGCACACACAAGTGGGTGTTTTCCGTCCCTGTGCTCTATTTAGAGTTTGCTCAATCATTTCTGTTGGAGCTAGAAAATAAACTTAAGAGGGTTTTTTTTTTGGTGTTTTTGTTTTTTTGTACGTTTATCATGTTTTTCATTGTAACTTGCCTAGCCAGGGGATAATTTTTTTTAAGGAACTTTTAAAGGTAAATTGTGTATTTGGCCAGTTGTAAAACTATATAGTTATCAGTATGAGGTGTGACAATTAAGTTTGAGAACTTATCCTAGAAAAAGTGCTATATACCTCATTGCTGAATATCACTATGGTCACCTTTGAAGTACTTCCTTTGGGAAGCTATGGACTGACGCCAGCACCTAGTCCACCCTTCAAAGCAATTTTGGAACGCTTTTTCTGGAATGGCGTTAGAGCTGTCGTCATATTACCCTTGACGTCCTGAATGTCATCAAAATGTCTTCCTTTCAATATTTTCTTTATCTTTGGGTAAAGAAAGAAGTCTATGGGGGCAAGATCAGGTGAGTAAGGGAGGATGTTCCAATATAGTTATTTGTTTCCTGGCTAAAAACTCACTCACAGACAGTGCCCTGTGAGCTGGTGCATTGTCGTGATGCAAGAGCCATGAATTGGTGAGAAGTTCAGGTCGTCCAACTTTTTCAAGCAGCCTGTTCAGCACTTCCAAATAGTAAACTTGGCTAACTGCTTGTCCAGTTGGTACAAATTCATAATGAATAATCCCTTTGACATCAAAAAAGGTTAGCAACATTGTTGCAACAAGTTGGTGAACTTAATTGTCAGACCTCATATACACTAAGAAGAAGTGGGCATAAAATGTATTGTTCTTAGCATAAGAGATAATGATTCTGATTCTGTGTCAGGAACACAGCTCTTAGACTGTCTATGTGTACGTTTGCCACAGCAGTAGGAGAGTCATAGTGTCATGTATTCTATTTTACAAAGTTGTAGTAGTGGGTCATAGCTGAAAGCACGTAGTAGAATCAGACAGATCTGAGTTCAAAGCTTGGGTCATCTATTTCAATGCAGCCATGAAAAAGGTATTTTTTTACTACTTTTATTTTCTCATCTATTAAATAAGAAATGTAATATCTACCTTGGATGTCATCATTATGATTAAGTGTAATAATTTATGTAAATTATAATAGTGACTAGCACATAGCAGTTGTTCAAAATGTGGCATTTTTCTTTGTAACTACCATGAAAATGATTGTTATCAGCATTTTAAGATGGTTGATTAATAATGGGGTCTTTGGCTATAAAATAAGATAGGATGTTCCTATGTACAAAGCAAACTCATAACATGAGGATAAAATTTATGATATTGACCTCATAGGTTTTATTCCAACTTCTAAACTTGTCAGTAGCCACTCTTATATTCACTTCTTTAAAAAATGTACATTCTCAATGTGCCAAATGGCTTATTTACTGAAAAATACCTGGGCCCCTAGTCATTGGCTATCTTTCTTCAAATGTCTGCTTAATATTTTTCTTCCTCTGTTTCTTCTTTAATTAAATTCAGTTTAATTCACCTATCCTCCAAGCCATTGCAATTGAATGATAGAAAATTGCTGTACTATAACTATAAACTTAGATATAACTATTGTCCTAATGTACAATAGTTTACTGCTAACCTTACACAAGAATTTGCAGTTACTTTTCCCTATCTACTCTTCTTTTTTAACATGTCCAAACACTTTGCTGAATTCATTTGCTCAGAGATTAACAGTCACCTCTGTTTGTGATATCCGGTCACAATCTCCTTTCTCTTTGATGTCTCCACAGCTTATGACACAGTTGACCAATAACTCTTCTTGAGACATTCTAATCCATAGGACCCCATTGTTAAAATAGCCAGCTCTCGCCTTCTCAGGATGATTCCTTCTCTGTGTTCTTTCCTGACTTATTTTTAATCTCTCTGTTAAGGTCTGTCACCAAGATGGAGTCCTTGGCTTCTCCACTTTCAGTTTTCTCCAATTACTTTCATGACTTAAATGACTGTCTCTGCAAAGATGCCTCCCAATGGTACTTCAATAGCCTGACCTTGCTCTGGAGTTCCAGAGGTCTTACTGGATATTTTTTTACGGGTGCATTGCACCATTTTATGAAATACAAATTCCAAAGCTGTGTTTATTAGACATTACTACAACTTGACTTCTGCGTTCCTGTAAACAATGGCCCAATTCTCACATAATAATAATAAAACATTGTGTTCAATGTTCATTTTCCCACTTTGTATTGGTTCTCAAGTTCAGAATCTTTTTTCCTTCAGAGTGCCTTCTGGATTCTCTACCTTAGCCTCTATGGATTTTTATATTAGACTCCTGACACTGTTATCCACAACTACATTGCTGGGCATCCTGCACTTGCTGCCAGGCAAAGCCTCTCAAACCAGTATCTAATTACCAAGTTCATTGCTATACAATGTACAGTGGCTGCACATTGATAAATTCAGTGTCCAGAGCATACATTTAAACTCTCTTCAGTACAGCCATCTTCTTACATCTTCTTATTCTGTCAGAATTTTATTCTTGTGCTACTAAGGGTACCACATACTTCCTTACTTTTATTTATATACAGTGAATGTATCACACACACACACACACACACACACACACACACATCCTATCTATTCTTCAAAGACAGTTCATCTATTCACTTCTTTGTGAAGCTTTCCTTGACTATAAGAATGTTCTCTCCTCTGAATCACAGTAGTTCCGGCTGATGTCAGCGTTTCTCAAACATGAGTAATGTATATAATCACTTACAAGGGAAAAAGGGAAAATAAATCCCACTTCTGTGAGTTAAAAATAGCAGCAAACCTTGTGAGTGGTGATGTGATCAGAGAAGGGGGACAGTTTAAACATGCTTATACCCTTTAGCAGGGAGGTAACCATATCATTTTGTGTATGATCTTTTAAACATAATTTTTGAAGTTGTATTTAGCTCATATAAGGTATTTCTGCCTTGTTTTCCCAATTCGATTATAAGCTCACGGAGTACAGAGATCTTCTTACCTTAGGCTGTAAGCATTTGTTTCCATTTCCATTGCTGTCTCTTCGTTCATGTAACAGAATGATCATGTTTGTATGGCTTGGTATTAGTAAAAATGGTTAAATTGAATAAGCAGTGTTCACTAATGGAAATTATGATTGGAAAAGCACATGCCTCTAATTCCAGACACTGCCACCAGGTGGGGCATATGCTACCTTTTGGTATACACCGAATCTTTGCAACCGTTTGAGGAATTGGAATAATCAATAGCAGACAACTCCGGGATTAGCTGTTATGCCTTTTTAAAAGTAATTTTGAAATTAGGCTCTTATCAGATATATGGACCTACACAGATATACTAAGAAGAATATTAAATATTATTTCAATATAATTTTAAAGTGTAACTATTCAGCCAAAAGTAGGCATCTACTCTATACTATGCATTACATTTCTAGACCTCTGCTGAAAAACCTTTCCTGAGCAACAATGAATTGCGTCTTGCTTCTAGCTGTCTGACACCGTCCTGGGTGACACTAGATTGCTTTGGATGGCCTTACACTTAGGTGTCTCCAGCCTGTTTCAAAACCCCTGGTTAGTCTCCTCCGGGGGGCTTGGCCTCTCCCGTCCTACGTTCAACTATTACGGGGACCAGATCCCTTCTGGCAGTTTCTCTCCAGCTGCATGTCCTTCTTCCCCACACTTTCTAACTTAAAAAAGTCCCATGAGCAAAATCTGAAGTTATTTGCTCTGGTCCAAAATCCACTGTGTTTCTAACCAGCTGGCCCATTGTGCTTTTTCTTGACTCACAATTCAGAAGACACCAGTGAGCCTTTCACATAACATGCAGTTACCGGTTTGCCCTTGATAGTGCTGCAGACTTAACCTCTTTCCAGGAAACTTCTCCGCTTGAAATGATGACAGCTTTTGTACACAGAATTTTTTTCCCTTGGTATTGAAATATCATAGCAACAACCGAAGCCAAAAAGAAGAAAGGGCAAGTGAATTAAGAAAGGAGATGGTCTAAGCACTCAAGGTTTATTTTGTATTTTATTGACTCTTACAGGTTATGTGGAAGTGCTGGTGATACCTCCTGGAGCGAGAAGAATCAAAGTTGTGGAGGAAAAGCCAGCGCATAGCTATTTAGGTAACTAACCTGTGGTACAGAAACAGAGCCTGTCCAACCGTGAGCCCGGCTCCCTGCCCTGACACTTCAGGTGATGATGAGGAGGCCATCCTGTTTCTGGTTATATGTTTGAATTTCCCAGGAAGCACCTCTTGTTGTATCAAGTAGAAATTTCTTTCCTTCTCTCCCAGGGACTTCCCAGGAGCAAAAGCAATCTGGCCGTCTGTGTGTTTTTTGGGGGTATAAATTGCTTCCACATGTTAGTACATGTTAAAAACAAAACAAAACACTCATTGGAGGATTTGGGTATGTTTTATTTCATATCTATTCATTTATATAAAGTACATTTTATAAATATATTTATATTATATATACTCACATAATTATACATGTTTATATTTATTGCATATGTAAATGCATAGACATAGGTGTGTGTACATAAAATGATTGCTTTAGAATTAGGAAATCTTGTGGGATTCTTAAAAAAGTTTCTACACACTAAAAGGACTTAATCTTTTCATGGGAAGCAATGCTCTCTCTTGCCTCACTTCAGGCATACTCCTATGAAGAGAATATTAAAAATTTTTAATTATTGCTATGGAAGGAATGATATCAGCTATTTTAATTAGGCCAATTAATGATTTTTTAATATATGAAAGAAAATACTAAGTTGTCAAAATACATAGTGCTTTGTCCATTAAAATTTCAAGCTAAGCCATCTGAAATGATCTTTTATTAGTCACACAGGTAGAGGGATACAATGTGATTAGGTCTGACAAAAGATTTAATATTCTCCCAGAATTTGAACATTGTATATATTGGGTTGTCGGAAAAGTCAGGACGCATTTTTGCAACGAAAAACAGAAAAAATACGTCATGACTTTTCCAACAACCCAATATATTATCTTTACAGAAAGCCTTCATGTCTTTTTTTATTTACCAAAAATGATGTCCTCATTATTCTTTCTCAAATAAGAAATAATGCCCCAATAGGAAATACTTTGTACATGGTAAAATCCAATATTATGTGATTGTTTCTACTCTGCAATATTTAAAATAGTCTACACTCAAACTGAATTATTTTTCTCATTAGGGTTTACTTTCTAGGAGTAGGAAAATTTGAGGAAAGGGGATAGGAAAGACACCCTTTGTCATGTGGCACACTCATTAATTTGTTACTAATATTTAAATTTGTGTGCTTTTACCTACTATGGTTTTTAAATGCATTTTAAGTGCAAGTAAATCATCCCAGATGTCCAAATTCAGATGAAAGCTCTCTTACCCAATTTTCGGAGACACTGTGCAAACTCTAGACAATTTCAGTACATTCATTCACTAGCAGACATTTGGCTATTACACTGGGGAATATGTTTTCTTTTTTGTCCAAGCTGGAAAGGAATATAGATGTCTCAAATGGAGTTTTCTCAAATTCTTCAAAACTCTCCATTGTACAATGATTTTTTATTAACCTCAAGAATGCGGCTAAATAAACAAGCCAATTGCACGAATGGGAAGTCTCCATCCTCTCTCTAACTCTTTACTTCCCAGGCTCTTCAGCCAATCTATTCTCATTTCTGTCTCCTGTCTGCAGTAACTGCCTTTGTCAAGGTCAGCACATGCCTTCCACATTGGACAATTCAATGGTCACATGTTCTTTGACCCAAAACAGCATTCAAAACTGTTGGCCTTTCCTCAGTTCATTAAATACTTCCTTGTTTTGGCTTCTAAGACCTGAGGCCCCCTACCTCACTGGATGCCCCTTACTGGTCACTTTTGTAGGGTTTTCAATCTCTATGTGGTTTCCATACTGTTGGTTCACGCAGGTTCCTGCTCTCCTCCCTGCTACACTGTTCCCCTAGGGAATTGCCCCATTGGTTTCCCCTGTGTATTTAATGCAAATGATCTTGTTTGCACCTCAGAAATAATAAGTCTCATTCAAAAATTTTACTTCCATCCCATGCTGAAACCTCGTCCTCCTTTAGTGTCCCCAATTTAGTACCCCCATACTATGGTAGTAAATGTCACCGTAGTAGTGTCCTGTGACTGCTGTAACCATTACCGCAAGTTTGGTGGTGTAAAAGAGCAGCAACGTATTCTCTCACAGTTCTGGAGGTCATAATCAGTTTCAATAGAGCCGAAATCAAGGTGTCTGCAAAACCATGCCCTCTCTCTGGAGACTTGCAGCGGTTCTCAACCTTTCACAGGGGTCACCTAAGACCATCGGAAAACACATATTTTCGATGGTCTTAGGAACCGAGACACTGCTCCTCTATCTGTCTCCAGGCCCACATGCAGATACGCCCACAGACGAGTACCCGGCGACCCCTGTGAAAGGGTCGTTCGACTCCCACAGGTTGAGAACCGCTGCTCTAGGCATATCCATTGCTTGCCTCTTGCAGCTTCTGATGGCTCCCAGCGCTCTTTTACTTGTGACCGCATCATTCCCAGTATCTGCTTTTCTAGTGTCATCGCCTTCTCTTTTTCTGTGTTCAAACCTCCGTCTTCCCACCTCTTATAGGGTATATGTTGATTGCATTTCAGGCCCACCTGGATAATCCAGGATACTCTCAATATCCTTAACTTAATCATGTCTGCAAAATTGTTTGTTTGTTGTTTGCCATTCTAGGTTCCAGGGATTCAGACATGGGTATCTTTTTTATTTATTTATTTATTTTATTTTTTTTTACTTAATAACACTTTTTTAAAACTGTGGTAAAATACACATGAAATTTACCATCTCAACTATGTCAAGTGTCCATTTCAGAGGCATCGAGTACATTCGCCTTGTTGTACAGCCGCCACCACCATCATCTCCGGAAGTCTTTTCATCTTGCAAAATTGAAAGTCTATACCCATTAAACACTAACTCCCCGTTCCCCCTCCCCCCATCCCCTGCTCACCACCGCTGTGCTTTCTAGCTGCATGGATTTGACCACTCTACATACTTCATATACGTGGGATCATGCAGTAACTATCCTTTTGTGATTGACTTATATCACTTAGGATAATGTCCTCAAGATTTATCCAGGCTGTAGCAGTGCCAGAATTTCCTTTCTTTTTAACGCTGAATAATACGTCATTGTATATGTCACATTTTGCTTATCCATTCCTTCATCCATAGATACTTGGGTTGCTTCTATGTTTAGCTGTTTTCACTAATGCTTCTTTGAGCATGGGTGTACAAATATTTTTTTAAGACCCCACTGAGCATATACCCAGACGTAGAATTGCTGAATCATGTGGTAATTTTTTTTTTTTTTTGAGAAACTGCCACACACCATTTTCCATTCTCACCAACACTGTGCAAGGGTTCCAGTTTCTCTATATCCTCACCAATGCTTGTTGGTTTCTGTTTATTTTAACAGTAGCCATCCTATTGGGTGTGAGGTGATATCTCATTGTGGTTTTGATTTGCATTTCCCTAATGATTTGAGATGTTGAGCATCTTTTCATGTGCTTGTTGGCCATTTGTATATCTTTGGAGAAATGTCTATTCTAGTTCTTTGCCCATTTTTCAATTAGGTTGTTTGTTATTTTGTTGATGAGTTTTAGGAGTTCTGTATTTATTTTGGATATTAATCCCTGATCAGATAGATGATTTACAAATATTTTCTCCCTTTCTGTGGAATTTTATTCTGTTCATAGCATCTTTTGATGCACAAAAGTTTATGTCTATGCAATTATTTTTAATTTTTCAGGAAGTTCAACTTGTGTATTTTTTTTTTATTATCTGTGCCTTTGGTGCCCATCCAAGAAATCACTGCCAGATTCAGTGTTGTGAAGCTTTTGCCTTACGTTTTCTTCTAAGAGTTTTATAATTTTAGGTCTTACATTTAGATCTTTGGTCCATTTCAAGTTAATTTTTGTATATGGTTCAGTTTCATTTTTCTGCATGTGGTTACTCTGTTTTCCTAGCACCACTGGTTGAAAGACCTGTCCTTGCTCTACTGAATGATCTTGGCACCCTTGTCAGAAATCATTTGGCCATATATGAGAGTTTATTTCTGGGATCTGTATTCTATTCCATTGGTCTACGTGTCTGTTTTTATGCCAGTAGCACCCTGTTTTGATTACTGTAGCTTTCTAGTAAGTTTTGAAATCAGGAAGTATGAGTCTCCAGTTTTGTTCCTCTTTTACAAGATTATTTTGGCTATTTTGGGTCACTTGAGATTCCTTATGAATTTTAAAATAGGTTTTTCTTATTTCTGCAAAAAAAGGCCTTTGGGAGTTTGATAGGGAGTGCATTGAATTTATAGGTTATTTTGGATAATGTTGACATCTTAACAATATCGAGTCTTCCAACCCATAACCTGAAATGTGTTTCCATTTATGTCTTTTTTAATTTCTTTCAACAATGTTTTTTAATTTTCATTGTATAAGTCTTTCATCTCCTTGGTTAATTCCCAAGTATTTTATTCTTTTTCATGCTACAATAAATGGAATTGTTTTCTTAATTCCATTTCCTGTTTGTTCGTTGTTAGTGTATAGAAATGCAACTTCTTTTTGGGTGTTGACTTTATATACTGTTACTTTGCTGAATTCATTTATTAGTTCAAACAGATATTTTTTGGTAGAGTCTTTAGGGTTTTCTACATATAAGATCCTATCTGCAAAGAGAAATAATTTTACTTCTTCCTTTCTGATTTGGAGGTCTTTTGTGCTCCTGAATTTGATTTGCTAGTATTTTGTTGAAGAATTTTACATCAATGTTCATAACGGAAATTGGTCTGCAGTTTTTGTTTGTTTGTTTGTTTTGTTTTTTGTAGTGTTTTTGGTATCAGAAAATGCTGGCCTCATAGAGTGAATTAAGAAGTCTTCCTTTCACTTCAGTTATTTAGAAAATTTGAGGATTGGTGTTCGTTCTTCTTTAAATGTTTGCTAGAATTTACCAATGAAGCCATAAAATCCAGGGCTTTTCTTGTTGGGATATTTTTGATTGCTGATTCTGTCTGCTCCCTAGTTATAGGTATAGTTAGGATTTCTGTTATTTTGTGATTCAGTCTTGGTAGGCTTTCTGTTTA